ACCTCCCAACTCCCTCTTGTGTTTGGCAGTCAGAGAAGAGATGGCCCAAAACACATAGCCAGCAGCTTCTGCAAGTGCTTGAATAAGGATTTATGAATTCCTGAGGCTGAGGTGTGAAAAGGAAGAGACTTATTTTTGTCCCTAATTCCATACTCACATGGGAACTCCTGATCTCATAAACTCCTTTATTCTGATGCTCTTGGAAGCACTTGATGTCACTGCAGTCACTCATCTTTCTCTTCCCTCTGCTTTTGATCCCTAAGCTGTAACATGGAAGAAAATTGGTTTTGCTCAGTTGTTCTGGATTTTTTGAATCACAGGGATCATCATTGCTTCAGACTCCAGGAAGAACCTGCCTTCTAGGCTATGCCTCTCAGTCCATCAGCCCAGAAAATAAACCTGCACTGGCCAACTGCAAATAGTTGATGAGCTCTTGGCTATGTAGCAGAAACCACTGTGGGTTAGGAGGATTTGTTAAATGTACTGAAGGTTGTGAAATAAACAGGTTTGGCAGCTGCTCCCTCCAAATTGGGCCGTTCTTGTCTCAGTTCAAGAATCTCTGTAGGAGAACATGAAATTGTCTAACCCAAGCTAAGCAAAAAGCCTGGGAATGTTTCTAGAAGCATCTTTGATTTAAAAATCTAGATGTCGTTCTATAGGCTTTCTCATGTGTGTGTTTTCTGTTGGTTTTCAATGTTTCCTCACCATAAATCAAGTCATTCCATTTCTGTAAGTAAATTTCCCTCTGACTTCAGAATTGAGGAACAGTGAAAACACATAGTTTTTGCTGATTCTTTCCACTCCACTTGTTTGTGGTTCAAGTCTTGGCTATATGTTGAAGACTATTATTATTTTTTAATCTAAACTGGTTTTTCCATAGTGGAGAGGATTATTTGTTTTGTGAGTTACTTAACAGAAACGTCTTGGTTATAAAAGCTGAAGACAAAGGGACTTAGAGATTCTAAATATTTGATACTGTTTAATGAGTATATCTACTAAAAACAGGCTTTGTAAAGAAGGGTAGTAACTCATTCTGTAATATTCCTGGTCAACAGCAAAAACCATAAAGATTTTTTTTTTTGTCCTGAAATGATTAATGGCTGCGTATCTAAAACCCTGCAAATTTTTGTAATACTCAGCAGAATCTACAATTTTATAAGAGAATATATTGTACTCTGCTGCTTGTGAAAATAGCTCTTCCTCTATTCTGTTTTGTTTGCTCCCTTGCCAGCCAAGCTAGAAAAGGGAGCAGCACCAACGAGCTATGCGAATTTTGTGAGCCATTTTCATCTGTTCAGTGTCCCAGAGGTTTGATTCCTTATCTGCCATCATCCCTTCACGAAGGGAATGTGTGCATGTGTGGGGAGTGCAGGATTGGGCACAAATCTTGTAACCTTTGAAGGCACGCTGTCCAAAACAAACACTTAGTTCCAGTAAGTGCAATTTAGCTGATAAATATCTTAACAGTTTTCTGGAGGGGACCCTCTGCTTGTTTACCAAAAGCGTTTTTAGTGCAATCCTGGTCCTGAAGTCCATGAACATTGACATGAGGGCATGTAGTGCTGTTTCTGCATTGGTGGTGCCAAACCATCTAGATACTTTATTGTTTGCTTTCCTCAAAAATGTGGTGTTGTTCTGGACTGCTTAGAGACCGAGCCTTTTGTTTTTTATTTCATGGGATGAAAGAGAAGAACAAGACAGATCAAACCAGTGTCCATGGAAATGAGAATGAGCATACTGATATTTATTATCCTGGTGTCGAAAACCAGGATACTTTATTGTTCCTGGAGGTGTTGTGATGGCTTTTGTTGGTGGCATGACTAGTAGTCTTCCCTGTCTCTGTGCATGTGTAACTCCTTGGATGTTTTCTATTGATATCTTCATCCTGATTATCCATTATTCAGGATACAAACTCAAATCCAAAAGGTAATGAAATGTCTTAGTGTATGAAGTAGAATACTGATGACAGGGACTGGGCGTCCTTGGTGTGAAGAGGGGAATCAGCAACACCACACACTGAGTGTTTTAGATCTCATGTGAAGCTCTTGTCTTCAGACATACTCAGTATTGAACCAATAGATAGACCTGATTTTTAAGCATCAACATTTGTTGTGCATATGAAAAATGGCCAATTTAAGGCTTCTAATTTAAAAAAAACTTGTGGCCTTCTGTTTTGGCCCTGATTTGAAGGTGAATTAATCAAGTGTTTTGGTGTTTGGCTCATTTGGGGATAGCACATGCTGGGCAATGAAAAGTGCACTGGAGGATGTCCTGCTTCCATAGTCAACTGTCTTTACACTAAGGCCTATCTGGAAGAGTTGGACTTGCAAAGAAATGGAAGGACCTCCCAAATTGCTGTGGTCTGTGTTCCATGAGGAGTCTGTAATACCAGTTGTGGTGCTAGGCTGCCCCTCTGCTGCCCAGGATGTCTGGCTGTTTTTTGAGTTGGGTACCTTTGGTGAAGCCACAGAAATTGCTGCATATCTTGAATAAAAAAATAAACCACAGACAAAAAAGAAACACCACCAAAAAACCAAAACATGCTGTATTTTTAAATTTTACAGTGCAAGATAAATTTTTTTCCAGTCACATTTTGAAATCTGTATTTCAAGACATGAAATAATTCATTAAACCCACCTTTGCAGAAGTCTACCTTCCTGTTGTTGGCCTATGCTCTGACTTTCATGGTCTGCAGCGAAACCAAAAGGAACTCTGGGATTTGGGAAATGGCTTTTTTCCTTCCTCAAGGATCAGATGGAAATGTGTGACCAAACGTTGCCATCGCTGGCAGAGTGGCTGCGGTTTGTGGGGGCAAGAATGAACAGCCTGGAAGGAAACTTGGGATCTAACTGTGTATATTAAAGCTATCCGGAGATGGAGAGGAGGCAGGATATGGACACAGTCCAGGTCTGCCCTTGACTTGTCCCACATAGCCCCCTTTGAATTCAGAAGGAATTATCTACAAATAAATATAAGGGTGGATGTGCGTGAGTGAGCGAGAATGTGATCACCTGATGTGGGATTCCCATAGTGAGGTGTTGACTCATCTTTTCATGTATGGAAAGCTATTTTCCAGCCCTAGAAACAGTGGTTTCAGTTTGGGAAGGCATTGAAGCACTTGTATGAAGTGCTTTTCCAAGAAGGGATTGTTTCCATAGTCAAGTCCTGTGTAAACTTGAAATGTTGATTTAGGGAAGGGGGGAGTGAAGTAATTTCAGGTACTGCTGTCAATGTTTGGAGCCCCTGTTCTGTTGGTCCTTAGGCACTACCATGACAAAAAACCAGTGCAGACACCTGCACTTGGATACACCTGCCTGGTTCTGTAGCTTTACACTCCTTTTTCTATAATGTAGGAAAGAGGAGGTGTAGGGGTTTCTCTGAGCAGTGGCTGCTTCATTGAGAGAGACACATAAACAGCACGAGCTGCCAAAATGAAGGAGACAGTGAAACTGTCCTTATGTTGGGCCCTTGCATGCACGGACAGGCTGAGGGAAGAAGGAGAGAACCTTTTGCCTGCCTTGCCTGCTTTAGTATTGCTTCTTCTGTAGTGGGAACCTAAATTGTTTTCTTTATATTCATTATACTAATTTTTCATTATTCTCTTGAGCCTGTGTCCCAGCAATGTGTGAATTTCAGGCCTAGTGTGCCAAAAAAGTTTGATCTTTCCTTTCCCAGATCACTCGTGTTTATAAATACACTTTGTTTTCTGACTAAAGGAATTCTGGAGCAGGAAAATGCCCAGCTAAATTCAAGGTCTACTCCTTAACGTTGGCAGCTACAGTGCAAGATACATTTCGAAGCTGAAAATGAAAGTTCTCCTTGTGTTAACAACAACAAAAAAATGCTCTTTTTTTTTTTTTTTTTTTAAATTCTGAGATACAATTGTGTTTGTTTTGCACTTTCTAATCTTGAAAACAGAAGCTGGGTAAAACTGGTTGGCTCTCCTCAGCTCTGCCTCTGCAGGGACTGGAACCGGTTTAGCTGGGGGTAGGTCAGCAGAGTGAAAGTTTTGTTTAAGATCCTTCGCAACTGTGTCAGTGTTTCTCTTCACTTGTTTAGCTTTTGTGCTGGGTTTATGAAGGTACAACACAACTTAGCCCTTAATGTACAACTGTTTTGGCTTCATTATAGCAAAGCTATAAATAGGCGCTCCTTTGCCTCCCCAGCAGTAGGAAATGACTGCAGCAGGTGTTGTCCTCTGCTAGAAATTTGCACGTTATTACTACCCAATTTTTTTAAATTGGCTTCCTTGTTGTTAGTTCTTCCTTTATTAAATGCCAACTGACTGGTCCTCAAGCGTCACTTTAAAATAGGAAATCTTCGTTAAGACAAAAGAAATAAAAGCGGGAGGGTATTTTTGCTTTACTTCTGTGCAGCCTCCGTGTAAAGTTTATTTTATGTGCAATTTTAAAAGTATTACCAGAAGGCACAGGAAAGCTGCATAATGCTGGTTGCTGCCTGAAATGTTTTTTTGGTTCTTTTGGCTTTCCCTGGCTGGAGTTTAGCTGAGGTTTGTTATAGCAGTTCCTCTGTGGTAAACTGGTAGATGCTTGGAAGGCTGTGGGCAAGGTTTGTGTCCGTGCTTGTGCTGAGTTGTCCCTTGCACTGTGGCACCAGGAAAATAAACAGGGCTTTTCGTGCAGCAAAGGTGCTGCTTTAGAGCAAGTGAGGATATTGCAACGTGGCCCATTCAGAGTGGGTTTGATGGTGCCAATAAACAAACTTCCCCTGGACACAGACCCCATGTTGTTTGGATTAACTTTGGGTCCCAGCAAAGAGGCCGAGTTGTTTGGGCAGGGAGCAGAACTGTGTTTGTGCTGCTGAGGTTGTTTCTGTTCGGCCGCGGTGCAGAGCCCTGGCCTCCCGCCACACTTGGGTGCTGCAGGAACAGTGAAATCCAGGGGAGATGCAGGGTCCAAACAGCTAACAAAGGGGGCAATCCTGTGTTTCATTCCTATTTAACACTTATCTGCCCTTACACCCCTTCCTTTCCCCTGCAGATGCGAGAGCTGCGTGGAGCTGCTGTTTGTGAGGGGGCCGGGAACTGCCACGAGTGCGACACCCCCCTGAGGAAGAGTAACTTCAGGGTGCAGCTCTTCGAGGATCCTGCTGTCGACAAGGAAGTGGAAATTCGGAAGAAAGTGCTGAAAATGTGAGTGCCACCGGTTTGAAGAGCAGAAGGTGGAAGTATTTCAGGGATCACGATTTTAAGAAATTGACTTTTCCAGTAGTACAGAGGGGATTTTTTTTTCCCCTAAAGTCACAAACCATAAAACTTGACTCTATTTATCATGGAGGGATTTCAGAGAATCTGATTTTATGCAACAACTGAGGACTTAATTCTCAATTTAGCCTTGAGAGATTCCTGCTTAGCATTAGAAAACATTGGGTGTTTCTGTGTGGCCTCCTTTTGGCTAAGATTTGCCTCCTGAATGGAGATGATTAGATGTTGAGAAGTACAGCCGCTTTCCCTTTGAGAGGGTGAACATGGGAGCAGGGTAAGAAACAGGACCTTGATTGTTTTGTTCCCTGGGGACCTGTTCTGAGAGTTGAAGGCTGGTGCCCTTAAAAATCAAAATGGACAAAAGAGAGTTCACATTGTTTTTTAACTTCACACAGCAATTGTTAGTGGAAATACTTCCTTACAAGCCTGGTGTTACTAGCCTGTCATGCAGATTTGAAAGCTCTTGGTATTGAGATAAATGAGGTCTGAAATTGCATCTCCCTCCTTGTGGCCAAGAAACAGCATTTTATAAGGAAAATAAGGGAGCTAGTTGGTGTTTGATAGAAGAGGGTCTGGTGAAATGTAACAAACCCAGAGAGAGAGTTGTGTGTGCAAAAATGAAAGTACAGGTAAATTGTAAGCTTGGCAGCCTTTATTTGAGACTTAGTACAATACTAAATAAATCATGATGTTGCTGAGATGTGGGGAAACTGTGTTGCTGAATACCAAGATGCTGATGTGGAAAGCAATAATAATTTTGATGTTGGATTTTAAAGTCTACTAAAGTTAACAGAAGTCAAACTGGAATGAAGTCAACTGAGTTGACTAAACATGGAATGAAGTTTAGTTAGAAGAGAAAACATTGGAAAATACTTGGCCCACTTCGGTTTGCCAGATTAGTTTTTGGGAGGCAGGAAAAAATGCCTCCAAATTGGAATTTTGCCTGAGTTCTGGGAATTAGATTGTTATACTCCTGGGTGTCGTGGTCCACGGAGCAGGCAGAATCTCAGCTTTATATTTTCTTGGGAAGAAAGTCTGCACATCTTGACTTTCAGAGGCTGTCCATGTTCTAGCCAGCCGTCCCTTCATCTTTTTACTTTTTCCAGCTATGAAGAGGTGAATATGAGTCCTGGAATGGTCCATTGATATGAAATGAGATAATTGCATAGCATTTTCAGTTTGCTGCTGAAATGTGCTTTCTGTTGTTGGCACAAAGCCAAAACTCCCTTTTCTGATTCTTCTAGAAAAGCTTTTTTTTTTTTTTTTTTCTTTCTGTGGGTGTTCCTGTTGTTCTCTGCCTTTGTTAAGAGGTTGACTGGGAATGACTCTGCCTTGGCCTCTGTGCTCATGTTTACCTGTAACCCTGGAAAAGGAGTTGGCAAACAGTAGGCAAAGATAGCACTGATTTATTCCAGGCTGACTCCTTTCCTTTGGAACAAGCACTTCTGTCTCCCATGAAAGATTCTGTGTGTTGGTCAGTTTGGGAGCCCCAAAGCACATGGTTGATGAAACTAGATCAATACTTGATCAGCTTGCAGCAAGAGCCTTGTGGAATGGAAATTGCATCTTTGTGTGTTGTATAAATACTTGTTTCTCTTCTCTCAAAGATACAATAAAAGAGAGGAAGATTTTCCCACTTTAGAGGAATATAATGATTTCCTGGAAGAAATAGAAGAAATTGGTAAGTCTAAATGCTTGCATTTTTGATGTGCTGTGCTCATGAGACCATAGGCTTTTATCTTCTGACTCAGCTGCCTGGGAGAATGTCTAAGTTGAGTTTCTGTAATAGGATTTATCGTAGTATCACATTTTTACCTAATTACTTTTTTCTGCACACTTTTAATCATATTTGCTGAACTGTAGGACCTCGTTAAGTAAAACTTTTTATCTGCCAGAGAAAGACCACAATCCAAAGGGGAAGCAGTGCTTTATAGCTGGAAAAGAAAGGCTTGCAGGGTGCTGTCAGTGCTACACTGGCAAAGATTAAACAAAGAGAGGAGAAATTGAAATTTTCATTATATGCTTCCATTAGCTTTATCTACCATGACAGAAGCCATATGGTGTCTTTCATCATTTCTGCTTCTGCAAGTACAGTAGTTGAGGCTGCTTTGAAGCTGATGACCTTACATACCACTGTGGTAGCATTTTATGTTGCTGTGCAGAAGGAGAAGGTTTAGGAACAGACGTTGACTTCTTTCTCTTTGGATTAGCTGAAGCAGAACTTTGCCCTTTGGGGAAGGGACAATGTTATCAACAGAGTTTATTTTCTTCTTAGTTAGGGTGACTTGTGATTTATGGTGGACTGATGGATTTTGCTTAGAAAAACAAGGATGTGTTCAAAGGAGTGACTCCTAAATGGTTTGTTTCTTGGTTTTTATGAGCTTCTGAGGCTTTTTTTTTTTTGTCCTGGAGGAAGAAGAGGTGACTTAGAGCATGCAGGAGGGGCAGTCAATGTGATTTGAAGGAAAACATGGAGATACCACTCCCCTTCGGTTTCTCAAAGGAGCCCTTGCTCCTCTTTGCACTGTGGTGTTTTGTAGAAATGTATCCAATACACTTACTGCTGTGAGTAATGGATCGTGTTTTTGTTGGCATCAGAAGGCTGAGGCTGGAGAGCCAAATCGTGTGGCTGGGAAACACCAGTCACACTCAACACGGGTCCAAATATCTGGAGGAGAAGATGTGGGTGTAGTTCTGTTTGTGTATTTTTTTGGATGGTGTGGGGGAAGGAGGGACTGAGCAGAAAGAATGGTTGCAGAGGATCCTGGAAGAATCTGTGTGCTCATGGAAGGGAAAACAACTTCTTATTTATGTAGCATTAAATGCAGTTTCCCCACTTACTGCTGTTGCAGTTTTCAGCATCTGCAACTAGGGATTTGAAGTCTTGCCTGAAATTGCCTGAACCTCATGAATTTGTGCAGGACATTTTGATCCTTCAGCTCTTGGGATTAGGGGGTTACGTTTCAAATGATTCCAAAGTCTGCACTGGGAACTTGGTTTAGAAGCAGCAGAAATCTGAATGGTCTTGGTAACCTTGTGAAAAAGAGTGAGTTCGCCGATAATTGTGTTGGCCCTGCAAATGCATAATGAAGAAGCTTGATCGAGTCATTAGGAATTGGAGTTAGTTGCCTGAGAGGGACACCTAAAATACTAAAAGGAATAGGAAGTCTGATTAACTCTTAGTTCCTTCATGTAGCAGCCAGGGTGATGAGAGGAAAAAAGTGGTGAAGTCAGAAGGCTCTTAGTTTTCACTATCACAGGGTTCATTTGTGATCTACTAACTTCAGACAGATCCCAGAGGACAGGTTTGACACAACAATGCTACTTTAGTCAAGGGTTCAAGCCCTGTTCTCTCTCTCTGGTGACAATGCCCATTGCACACATATTGCTCTCCCTAAGTCATTCCCTGCTGTGTTCCTGGGCAGATTTCTCCACCTGGAAGTTGTCTGGTGTGGCACTGTGACTTCTTCCAATGCCTGTTGAGAATGGCATGACTGAATAATGTGTTAAGGGTGTATCTTTGACTCTGTACGGTCGCTTCACATTATACTGCAGAGAGTAGTTATTTCATTTGTGCGTGTGTGTGAATTCCCTGCTGGTTTGTGCACATGAAAAACTGGGCTGCAAGAGGGGAAGGAAAAGATATGGTTGTGCAGGGCAGTTTTACATCCTGGAGCCAGCATACAGCAGGTTGAGAGTAGCCGGTGGTGGTTGTTCAAGCTGCCAGGTTGGGAATGTTAGGGAGACAGAGAACTGGATTTCCCCCTCTCTCCCCCTGCCCCAGACTTTCAGTTTTTCTGTGGGAGAGTTGAAGTGCAGCTTCACCTTGTTTTGTCTTTGCTGGTAAGTTTTGTTTCTTGAGTTGTTGTGGGGGTTCAAAGAAAGTAATTGCTTAGCAGAGGCAAGGTGTAAGCATCCAGTGCAGGTATGCTTCATGTGACCCTGGCACGATTCAGATAGTTTTTCCAAATATTTGCAACAATTGCACTGTCTTATTCCATTGATGTGATAGGTGACCTCACTGGAAACACATTTTCTCCCTTGATATCAGCCGTGTTATACTTACAGACTTTTCCTATTTAAATGGAAGAGTTGGGTGGTACAGCAGAAGCGTGCGTGTGGGAAGGTCAAACAAACATTAGGGTAGTCACCTTTTAAGATTTGTGTTATAAAAACACATTTTTGAAGTGGTTTAGAATGTAGCCACTAAATAATGCTTTGGGCTAAAATGTGTTGTTACAAGGCTTTAAATAAAAACCACATTTTAAAGCAAGTTTTCGCCAGGAGAAAAATCAGTTGGACAATTTGAGAACACTGTAAACACAGTTTGTTGTCATTAACACTAGGAATAAAAATAAAGTGAAAGGGTTAAAACCTGCCTTTGGGAAAGGTGTGGACAACATCTATCTGAATGAGTCAGGTCTGTGCCCATTATGATGAGAGCCACAAGGTTAAAACTTAGAGTGTTGCTACAAGTTACAGTTTCTGGACATGATGCAAATTTTGCTTGTTATTTCTATAAAGTTTTCTTCTTTACCCAAAGGTTTTCTTCTTCCCCAGAGTATCTCTGTGCCCAGTTTATTTTAAACCCTGTGTGCAAGCTCTCCTGAGCAGGACCCACCTCCCAGCATGTGCCTGGCACTCTTCTCCTGGTACCTGAGTGAGGCCCGCAGGCATTACCACAACACAATTGTTAACAGTAATTATTACTTTTTAAAAACATTCAGTACATTCAACTTGGAAGGAGGCTGCTGTATCTGTGCCCTTCGGATTCCTGTATCTCCTTACTCCTCCGGGACTTCGTGCAATACCGGCTGCCTCGGGACTTGTCTCGCTTGGAACATTTATCTCAAAAGTGATCCTTGGATAGGAAGGGTTTTGGTATCTGTGATCACTTGTGGGTTGTGTTGTTTATTGTTTTGTGGTTTGTTTTTTCCTTCTGTGTGTGTGTGTGTTCTTGAGGATGGCGTTGCTGGTCCTGACAGAGGCAATTTCCCAACTGGAAACTGGGCAGTTTTATCAAAGAACCATTTCAGTCATCTTGTCTGAACAAAGATTTCACATTGTTCCAGACAAAATGGTCTCTCTTAGACTGATGGGGCTGAGTGAATTCAATAATTTATGACTAAGCTAAGGTAATTTTCTGGAAAATTATTGACCTAGTAAAAGACAACTGAGGATAAACAGAGATAATTATTAATACCTAACTAGACTTCTCTGGCTTATCTGTGGGTTTTCTTTTGCTTCTGATAATTATTTTGTTATAATCACAGAAATGTTGGTTTGGAAAGGACCTGTAATCAGCTTTTCTCCAGCTCACCCCTCTCCTACCCCTCTTAAAAGTGCAGGGACTCAGGCATCAAAGGCACCAAGAGGAGGTGCCCTGGGACTCCCTGGGCAGACTGAGGGTGTTGTTGTGTCTCCCTTCATAGCGCTCTGCCCAAGGCAGTTGCTCTTCTACCATTCCCAACCTCTGGCTGGGGTTTTATGAAGATGATTATTAAGGAGTTTTTTGTAGTGGGATGGGAGGAATGTTGTTTATATCAAACTAATGCTAATGATTTTTAGTCTGAAACTAAAATGGAGATTTTGATGGACTTAGAGTCCTTCAGTGGAGTGATACTCATTCATACTGCTATGTCTCTGGACAAATTATTGTGCCATATAATTAAAATTTTTCTCATTTTCTTTTTCTATGGCTGGGAAAATATTTTTTCATTTGTTGTAGAATTGCATAATGAATGTTGTTGTTTTGAAAAGCAGTGAAAGTCTCCCTGTAGAGGCGGAATTTCAGAAGTTGGGAGTTTTACCTAAATAGAATGAAATGTTTCAGAAAAAACACAATAGTCTTCCTGTTACACTTCAACAGATGTCTCAAGGCAAGTCATTTTATAAACCAACCAATGTGAGATGGATAAGTAGATAAATAATTGTTGCATACAAAACAGCTTCTGTTTCTTTTCCCTGAAGGGTTTCAGGCCTCTTATATCGGCTTATGCTATATTTCAACATGGACAAAAATAAGTCTGTCTTCTCTTTGAAACCTTTTCAAACCAGCCATCTGCTTTGCCACTCATATTCAGATCTACACCAATATTTTTTCAGGGTAGGTGTGGCATATGAGTTAGGGATTTTAACCCTTTCTGGTTCTTCTAGTTTTATAGGGGTTTTTTGTTGTTCTTCTGGTGTGTTTTTTTGTTTGTTTGGTTGGTTGGGGTTTTTTTTTGGTTGTTATTGTTGGGCTTTTGAAAAAGGGAAGAATTATATTTAAAATAAATTTCTGGCAAAACTCAAAGCAGACCAAATAAAAAAGTACTGCTTAGTCCTAGCTATGTAAAAGGTAAAATGTTGAGTATTAGCAACTGTGTTCTTTGGTTTGATACTTACTGGTTTTCAAATGCCAAGGAACTTGTGGAGGGGAGAACGGACAAGACAAAGAAAGAAATAATCTCTTAATTGTTTTTTTGTGGCCTAGTGCCCCTTGCAAAATGGAGTGGTCAGCTGTAATTGCAAGGATACAATGGCAAGAACTTGTTTTCTATGAATATTGATGAAAAGACGTTTGAAGCTCATGAAAGATTTATTAGAAAATATGTTGAAAGATGTTTTGGTGGCCTCTGCTAACCATGCAGTGTCAAAGGGCAGAGTTGCTTTGCTGCTGAGTGCTTACTGTGGGAGGGAAGATGCTTTTTTCATGTATTAAAGGGCAGCTGTTGACACTGATGTTGATGTCGAGACATCCTGGTTACGCTGGTCTACTTTTCCACTGGTTTACTTTTTTTTTATTTTTTACACTTTTTTACACTGTTTCAACAACTGGTTTTTTACACCCTTTTTTACAACTGTTTCAACCAAATATACCTCTTCAGTATTTTTACTGTTGAAATGTGGGCAAGCTGGTGTTGAGGAGCAGATGCTTAGGACCAAGATAACGTTCCTCATCAATGACTGTACATCAGTGTTCATTGGGACAAATCCTCTCTGGCCTTTGAGGATGCTGGAAGTTTGAATCTTTCTGATTGCTGGTGTCCCACGATATCCTTGAGTGACAGAGCAGAATCAGATGGACGGAGCAGATCTGATATGAACAGATCTGACTGTTGGGAGGGTTGTATCTGTGGTTTGGTTCCAACCACAGCAGAAAAACAGAAGGGGAAATAAATAGTCTTTCACCTTGCTGTGAGCAGAGCAATGGGCTTTTAAGGTGGCTGTGCAGGTGGCTGCTGAAGATTTCTCAAACGCTGATGAAGAAATAGATTCCTTACATGGAAATGTTACTTCCTATCAGATACCAAAATACTAATAAATACGGGAAAATGCACCCACTTTTGTAAGTAGTTCCCATTAAAGGTAGGCATTTGCACATGTTTAAAACTTGCCAGCTCTCCCTTGTATGAGTTTTAAGTCTTAAGCTTTTTGTTTTACAGACCAAATTGTGACTGGTGGAACCCATCAAAGATAGGTGAGAAAGGGGTGAAAAAACAAACCCCCAGTGTTTCAAGCAGCGGTAGTTGCAAAACAGGGATCATCAGCTTATTGCTGGATTTATTTTTAGAGAAATACTCAAGATGTTCAGGAGCCTAAAGGCAGTTTGGCATCTCATCTTGCTCCTCCTCTTGCACCTGAAGGTGGCATCTGGGCATCCTGCTAGCACAGCATGTCTCATATGCTATTTCTTTCTTGTGTCGTCATTGAAGAGTTTAGAGAGCTGATGTGTGGATTTAAGTTGTAGGAAGTGCTGACATTCCCATGCAGCTGCTGTCATTGCTGAGCCCTGGGCTGATTTTGTGCCAGCATTTTCACATGACAATTCTTCTCTGCCCTAATACTCAAATATTAAAAGTGCTTGTCAGTTGGGAGCTGTGGGCTGGAAATTTGGAGGCCAGATCTCCATTAAAATACTAAAAATTTAGACTGAAGTGATGTGTTTTACTAAGGAGAGGTTGCTACAACCAGAAAGTATGTGTTTGTCATGATATGAAATAGGAAAATGTTACGTCTTTTGGAGATTAAAGAACCCCCCTCAAACATTTGGAATGGGTAACTTGCTTCCAAAAGTCAAGGAGCTGGACTTTGAATGCCTTGTTTGGGTTATGGCAGTGCCCAGAGGTTCCACTTGAGATGAGATCAAGACCACAGGGATAAATGCTGCATTTAGCTATAGAATGGAGATACAGCAGGTGATATATAGGAGAAAGGAAGCTTTATTCCCTTTTCCTGGTTCTTGCCAGTGGGAGACCTCCAGTATAGAGGCCCAGCGATCTGGAACAGTAGCAAAAAAATTGAACTGAGGTATTGACTTCCAAATTCTTAAACCACAAACTCAGCCTCCATCTCAGATCTTCCTTCTAAAGTGAGGATGCTGGGTGGGGTTGGATAGTTTGGCTGATTTAGGAGCCAGGCTGAACTGAAATGTCAGTCCTCTTGATACTCTTTATTATTTGGAAAAGAGGGGGGAATAAGCACAGCATTTTAGTTTTTTTCTTGCTTAAGTTTGGGAATTCCTTCAGCTGTATCTTGCTGAGCCCTTTTTGTTGCTGTTAGAGCAAACTGAATACTTTTGATAGCTGTAAAATCATGTGGTGCTCCAGTACTTCTGTACACTTTTATTACTCCCGTGGTACCATCTCTGGCACTTGCCTGACCCCTTTGTTTCTGTTGACACTGCAAAGCATCCAGGGGTGTCCTGGAGTCAGAAGCAGGGGAAAGGGTGAAGCCTGTGCCTGGGAAGAGGCACCTTAGGAGCAGGAGTACCCCTTTTGGCTGTACAGCTGGGTTTGTAGAACTGAGCTGTATCCTACAACTGTAGCATTTCAGACCTTCCCTCCTTTTTCCCCATCCCCGTTTATTCCCTGGCTTTGAATTCTTGATGTTTCCTTTGCTGCTCTCAGCTGGTTTGCCAGCCGAGGCTCTTTGTGGTTTGGTTTGCCTAGAACCCTCCTAATGCACATTTCTACCGTGTTACCTGTGGAGAGGATGAAAGAAGGGATATAATCTTTCCCAAACTGAGATGTGAGCTGTCCTGATGAGGAACAACAGACTTCATGCTGCTTCCTTCTGTTCCTCTCTAGCAGCCTCACTGATACAAATGACTTGGCAGTGGAGCAAGTGCCAGGGATCATTTGGCCCTGGTTGCCTAAAAGCCTAGGAAGAGAGAACTGGACTAAAATTTTCCAAGTCTTGTGCTGGTGTTTTCACAAGAACCTCCTTCCCTTCCTCAGGGTCTGACTGAGCGCAGTCACTGCACAGTTGTTTGCTTGTGAAGGATTCAGCAACAGCAGTGCAAATTTCTTTTGCTGCACTTGACAAAGCTCTTGGAGGCTTTGAGTGCTGTGTGTTGTGAGTGTTCAGTGGCTTTAAGGCCATGGGCATGAGCCCAGCATCCACTCTGGGTGGTGATCACCAAGCAACTTCCCAGCGATAGCAGCTCTCAGTTGGAATTCACTTGACCCTCAACTGAACCAGTGACCTAGAGGTGAAAGGCTCAGGAATTGTATCAAATTACTAATCATCCAAACCATCTACATCTTTCAAGCTGTTGATTATAGACACTGTTCAATTTCTTGGGATATCTTCTGCGCCATGTGTAGATAATTGGGAATGTTGTGCTAAACTGTGGAGCTTGCTCATGATGACATGAGAGATACTCTGTCACCATTGGGAAACATCAAAAGAATGTCAGTTAATCTATTAATCTGGAAGCATCTGTAGATTCCTCCTAATAAAGGTAATTGTGTGCCTTATTAAGTTATCAAACAGTGTGAATTTTTTGTGTGTACCTGAAAATTCAAACAATCTTTATAGTCTTTGTGCATTAGATAATTTTATGAAATAGAATGACTTAATTTCCAACTTTGTCTTAATATGTATGTGGTGGTCTAGTTTAATTTCACAGGAATCACTGTGTTCTTAGCTGTAACTGCTACTTGAAAAGGTCAATGTTTTATGAATAATATGATGATTATTCGTGTGTATCATTATCAGTATCACAAAATAGGATGCAGGGCTCAAATTTTATTCTCCTACAAATGTTTAAACTAAAGGAACTCTGCTGGCTTCTGTTGAAGTTTGCAGTGACTTAGCAGATTGTGTCCATCTTTACTGAGCATGTTCAAATAAATCCTGTTACTGCAATGTTTATATCTGGTGCTAGAAGGGATAGAGAACAAAAGAGTATTATTTCTTTGTCACAGTCATGCATGCTGACCTAATACTTTTGCTTTCTGTCTTTATAATATTTATGTAGTGTTTAACTTGACCAACAATGTGGACTTGGAGAACACCAAAAAGAAAATGGAGCTGTACCAAAAGGATAACAAAGAAGTCATTCAGAAGAATAAGTTAAAACTGGTTAGTTAACTTTTCTCCTCTACAATTTTTACTCATTAGTTGAAGAATTAAAGGATTTGTGAAGTACTTTCTGCGGTGTCTTAAAAACAAAACTAAAAGCACTATGCAGATTTCTCTTTCTGTTTCAGTATTTAGATTAATAGCTGAAATGGAGTTATGCTTTACTTTGGGAAGAGCTTGAAAGGAGGGACAGGCAGTAAAGCCTGTGTCTAATACATCACCACTGCATGTGTGCTGGCAGTGTCGTTGGACAATATCCAGGAGAGATGAAGTTCATTCCTGTACCAGGACAATCGTTCCTTTCTCATCCGAAGGAAAAAAGGAATCCAGACGCAGACATTATGAAGCTCCCAGGAGGGAGTTGTAAAACTGAGGGAAAGCACAGGTCTGGTTTATGCAAAATTCAGAATGAAAGATGTTGAAACAAACATTAGAACTCTTGTTCAAGAGCTGATAACAGTAACGTCAGGAATATTGTATATATGATCTGTATGCAAAACACAGGGTTCTTTGAAGATTCATTCATTAAAATGTGGCTCAGATATCATTTGGCTCTTTAAAATAAACTTGCAAGCATTTATTCCTGTAAGAAAAGTTTAATCTGTTAAATATTTTTTCAGTATAAAAATACACACAGTTATCGGTTCTTGAAGCAAAATGTCTGCCCAGAGTGTGACATAACAAGGTTTTGTGTTTGCATTACAGTTGCACTGAGGACTTGCTTTCAAATCAGTAGGGGTGAAATCCTCACTCCCCTGAAGTGTGTGGCAAAACTCTGAGTGATTTCTTTAGCTCTAGGATTTCACAGGAGGAGATTGGAATCTGAAAAATGTTTGTTTGAACCTCTTCCTTTTAAAGGCAGGGAAATTTCCCTAGGGGTCCATCTCTGATCTGTTATCCTGTCTCTGACACTCTGCAATATCCTATGCTTCAGAGCTTGAAGAGACCTGCCAAAGCTTTGGCTTCACATCTTATTTTACAGTGTAGCTGCAGCCTTGAGGGTCACTGTGTTAACAGTGTGCTTTGCCTGCAGCCCACCTTCCCTTCGTGGGGGTGACTCTCAGGCAGCCCGTGCAGGAGCTGTGTGACCCTGTCAAGCGGCAACCGTGACACCCCGTGCCCACCAAGCCCCCCAGAGCCTCCTGTGTTCTGTACCGTGCAGTCCTGCTGTGCTGGAGGCTGTCTGGTGGCAGCTGGGCAAGCCTGTGTGAATCCAGACTCACTGGAGATCTGGAGACATTTCCCTTTTATTTCTTTTTTGGTGTTTGAAACATTCAACCTTTCCTTTTCGACAATCGAAACATAATAATAGACTTGACACAGTGGCTGTTACAAAACCTGCATGATATTGCCCATAAATTTAACCCTCTCCTAAAAGTTGAAGGGTTGCTTTCTCTCTCTAGTTCTTTTTGGCAGGTTTTGGAATGTCTTAGCTCCATCCATAGTAAAAGGTGTCCAAATAGGTTTTTCCTAAACCTCTCCTGACCAGTTGTTGTCCCTTCATTCTTGGACTGACATCACTTTTTCTGTCCATTGTAATAGCTTGCTTCTGAGGAGTATAGATATCTTCTCTCACTTATGGTGTTTTTGTTATCCTTTGCCTGTTCCAGTTGGAATCTGTGTTTGGGATGCAGAAAGCACCAGAGTTAAATGCAGTGTTGCAGTTGAGATCTTAATGCCTCTTGTACAGAAACTCTTGTTTTCCACCTCTACTGGAAATACATTGACATGATTCTAAAACTGTTCTTTGTAGCACTGTCATGTGGAAGTTCACACTCAGTAGTTGTCAAGCAGTGCATCCTCTTTGGTTTCTACCTTGCAAATTATTGTCCCTAAGCCTGTGACCTTTCAGATTATTTTGATCTCATTTCTCCTACTTTTGTCCTCATGAGAGTGTCATTCTTGCAAATCAAAATATTAAGTTACTATATAATAATAAGTCATCTCAAGATTTGAATAACTGGTTGTTCTCCTGTCAGTACAAGCCATATTTGTCATCTTTATTGCCAGTTCCTAATGACTTTGCTATTTTTGTACTAATCCATCTATTAGATGTGTAAGTTTGATGCAGAAGATGAGAAGTTTGATGCATGAAGAGAGAAACTTTAAGTAGGCAGGTTAGGAAAAAAACCCCTGAAGAATTATCTAGGTCCTTGTCATTCTAAGTTGATTTTTATATAGAGATACTTAAGTGCACTAGTTATTTTTAAAAAACCTTGCACTTGGAATGAACTACAGCTTTCCCAAACATGCCTTCTTCCTTAAATACCTGCAGTTCTCCAGTCACAGGGTAACCTGTTACTTCCTACTTTGTCAATAGATATTTAAATCCACTTGCTGCTTTGTGCAATCTTGAAATAGTTTTGTCTGAGTTCTGTGACATCAATGTGCACATTTCCTTAAATATCGTTTCCTGAATGTGATGAAACATCATTACACTTTTTATTTACTTCTTCCACTTATCTTCTTAAGGTTACTCCTGGCTTCACTGTCATCTTTTTCTTCAGATATTGGGACTGTATTTAGATTATTTTTAGGCTGGACACAACCCCTGCTGCCTGTTGAACTCGTCTCTCTTCTGGTTTACTGTTCTACTTGGTCTTCCTTTCAGAAAGAATTTGATCTGACGTGTGATAATTCTTCCATTTTCCCGTAGTGTGGTCTGGTTTAGATTTGTATATCAGTTTACTTATTTCTGACTATAATTTTTCTGGGCTAGTTCTTCACTCTGGGTCTGTCACCACTTCCCTACAAGTTTTCATCTGTTTCAGTGCAAATTCTGGGCAGTCTTTAGACATAAATGTGGAAGAGCTTTGGAATGTCTTAAAAGACCCTGAGCTCTCCAGTTCTGTTGACTGAACAAACTAAATCCCTTAATTCTCAGAAGCAACCTCAGTTGGGGATTTTTTTGCTTTGTTTTTTTCCTTTCATTCAGTGTAGAGAGAACCCAGTTGCAGGTGGTCACTGGTTGGTGACCAGTGTTTTACCAGTGCCACTGCTCATTATGGAACAGGAAGCAGCTCCTGTTGGCTTGGTGGCAGGTGACAAGATCTGTCAGCTCTTGCATCCAGGACATACTGGGACTTACTGGGACCCATTGGCTTGATCTGCCTGGTACAGGGATGTTTTTCAGCATATTGTGGCCAATATCAGATTGCTGTGCTTTATGAGAGAACTTTATGATTGGAACAAACTTTACTGAGCTCTTGGCTGCAATGATCTTTTCCTGAAACTGCTTCCATCAATAAATCGTCCATTTAAGTTGTATAAAATTTTAATTATCTCTGTGTTTTTACTGCATCTCCCTTTGCTTTAGTCTTTTTGGTGGGGAAGTTTTGGAAAGTGTTTCCTGTCTGTTTTTATCTTCTTGCAACAAAACTGATGTTCTTTTCATTCCCTCTTCTCTATAAAATTGTTTTTAATCAGTTTTATTTTCCCCTGTCACTGAACCCTCTTCTGGTTTTTAATTTCACTGTGATTTTCAAATACAGATTACTTAATAGTTTAAAAGGTTAAAAAAAGACTTGTCAAGAAATAAATCTATAACAAAAACTAGTAATTTTTTACTAATAATGTTTCGTTTCGTCTCATGTCACGTGGCTGCAATCCAGGTTATAGGAAAAATTCCTAATTTTCTGAGAATGTGACATTTTTTTACAGTTCATGCTTAAATGTTTTAACTTACAGACTTCTCTATTAATATTCACATATTTGTAATTTCTTGTTTTTCTTCTACACTGATAAGCACAGAGTGTGCTTTGCACAGATGATGCAGCTGATGGAGGGGGGGCGATCAGGAACAATATTATGGGATTATATTTTTGGTCATCCTACTTATATTACTTAGGTTGTAAGATATGTGGGAATAAAGAAGGGTTCCTTTTAGGGTGAATATATAAGAAAACCCCACTGTCATTCCCTAACATTTAAAGAGTTGGACCCAGACTGCAGAGAGCAGCAAGTTAAAAATGAAACTCCACACTGGACAATAAGAGGAGGTAGAATAATCAGCTATAATCACCTTAAAATTCTCCCTAAAATTTTACTCTAAAAGGTAGAATTTGGCTGCTTTTCTCTTGCGTGGCCTGCCCTGGGTCCTTTGGCAGGCAGTGGAGCTCTGGAGTTGCTGTGAGCTCATTTCTGATTTCCCTTTCAGACACGGGAGCAGGAGGAGCTGGAGGAGGCTCTGGAGGTAGAGCGCCAGGAAAGCGAACAAAGGAGACTGTTCATACAGAAGGAAGAGCAGCTACAACAGATGATGAAAAGGAAGAATAAACAGGCACTCCTGGATGATCTGGTGAGTAACAAAACCAGAGGCTTTGAGTGCTCAGTAGCGGTACGTTGACGTTCATCTCTATCACGTGTTAATTCCCCCCAGTTAACCATCTGCCCTGTTTCCCTGTCTTGCATGTTTTGTGTTAGTTGTTATTCATTTCAATGTTGTTCAAATAACTCTGGTTTTGTTAAGCAGTTCTGAAGACTTGTTGATGCTCTGGGGTGTTGAAGCAAAATGTTCATCAGGAGCTGCTTCATGAGCTCAGCCATCCCTGCAGTGGAGATGGTGGAGAGCAGGGGACAGTAACCTCAGGAGTTATTTGAGCGTTGGTCAACCTTTTATGGGTCAGAGCATCTAAATGATAATTGGTCCCTTTGTATTTAAAAACTACTTAAAGGAAAAGATTGAGTGTGTCATGTTCTCTTACTCCAACTTGTCCTGTGTGAGTTGCTCCATTTGAAGTGAACAAAGCTTGAGTTCATTTGAGGAGTGTACAGACAAAGGGAGAAAAACCTCAAGCTACTCCTGGAAATGGTGTTAATCTTGGTTGAAATTAGTACTGATTCTGCATCTAAAATGCAATGAAGTGTGGCCATAGAGAGGCTCAATGAATGTATTATTTAAACAAGATTCACATCCCAGTATTTTCAATGCAGGTGTGTGTACAGACATGGACACACACACATTCATGTCCTCTAACACCCATGAGGTGTAACAACACAGTAACACATTTCCTCGAAGGAAAGCAGAAAAAAGAAGTGTGTATCCATACATACATCTATTCAGCTGTGTCAGTGTGGTTTAAAGCTGCTTGGTATGTTTAAATCAGAATTTCTCTTATTTCAGTGCATCTCACACTTATCAAGTGTTAACTCCTGCTTTGTGTTCTCAGTTTTTATTGGAGATGCAGATGCTTTTCTACTTTTCCTGAAAAAAGCAGAGTTCCTTTCTGAGCCAGTGCAGAAGGTACTGACACGAGGAGAGAGAATTGAAGTGTAATTTAGAAGTTTCAGGGCCTCTTGAAGAGCTACCTTGTTTCAAGCCAGGGATTCTGGCAACCTGTCATTGGTTTTCCTGAAAGGAGCTGGTGTTTCATTTTTTGTAGACAAAAGCAGAGATGAGCAGAAAGGTTCTTTGAAAATTCCCCAAGTCTGTAACTTTGCATCCAGCAATCTATTTTCACTTTAAAGGTAAATGGGCTTACAGTCCATACAATTAGGAATAGTGGATCAATTAATAAAAATTCCACTATGAATTTGAATCTAATTTCTCAGAATATGGATTCTGAACTGGTTTCTGACTTACTTAAATGCTGTTCTAAAACACAGTCTTAACTGACCAGAGGCCAGTGGTGATGTGTGTTTGGTTGTTTTATTATTATTTTTTTTAACACAGTAGTAGGTTTTACTGGAAACCTTCACCAGATGGCTTTCAGAAAGAATGGTTATAAATAATCCTTAAAACACGACCAAAATAGGTAGTTTTAACTGTGATTGCATATGTATTGCTGTTAAAACATATCTTAATATTCTAAAAACAACATAAAGGTGATTTTTAAAGGCTGAGAAAGGAAACTAAGCAGTTTTAAGTTGTGTGTCTGTTTCTGAAGGAGGACTGTCAACTTAAATTTGAGCCAAAACTTGTTTTGTAATACTAAAGCTTTATAAAACCAGCACTGAAGTGTTTGTATAATGACTTATAAAGTCTCTGGAAAACCAGCAATTGTTAAACAAATAAACATTTCCTATGGTCTCTGAAGTCCCTCTAATGCTGTGCTGCAAATCTGAAAATGAAGCTGATCATAAATAAACCTTAATTGAGAAATGCAGCAAAAGCCAAGTGTAAGCATTAGTAGTGTAAAGAATCAGGTGTAAAAAAAATAATCCTGTATCTATGGTTGCTGGTTCTGTGCTAAACCAACAAGGATTAATTTCTGGCTACAGAGATACCGGTGGCAAAACCACTGACTCGGCAGGATTGTGAGTGCAGAGGAAGGTGGGAAGTTCACATTTCACCTGTTGGTTTTGAATCTTCTCTTTCGGATAGATCACCTGGCATGGGCAACCTACAGCCCAGACCTCCTGGATCTTGGTAAATTTTTTCTCCAGGATTGTCCTTGCCACTGGACAGCAAGAGAAAATTTAAGATAAATTTTTTGTGTGCAGTACAGGTTGAGATACTGTGTCTTTCTTCTTCCTTCTTTGGTGCTGAAACCCTAAGAAGCTGTGAATCTCATAGAACCATAGAAATGCTTGTGTTGGAAGCATCCTGAAAGCCCATCTCGTTCCAATCCCCCCTGCCATGGGCAGGGACACCTTCCACTATCCCAGGTTGCTCAGAGCTCCATTCAACCTGACCTTGAACACTTCCAGGGATGGGGCAGCCACAGCTTCTGTGGGCAACCTGTACCAGGGCCTCACCACCCTCACAGTAAAGAATTTCTTCCAATACCTAATCTAAACCTACTCTCTTTCAGTTTAAAGCCATTTCCCCTGTCCTGTCACTCCAGGCCCTTGCAAAAAGTCTCTCCTCATCTCTCTTGTAGGCTCCCTTCAGGTACTGGAAGGCTGCAATTAGGTCACCACAAAACCTTCTCTTTTCCAGGCTGAACTATCCCAGTTCTCTCAGCCTTTTCTCATAGGAGAGGTGCTACTTCCCTCTAATCATCTTGGGGGTCCAAGTCATTATATGTGTTATTTGTGGTGGTTTTGCATGGAGTAAAGGTCTCAGTTGTTTGCAAGAAGTGCTTGAGAATAAATACTGTGATATTTTTCAAAGAACCTGTAATTTAGGTAGTCCAGAGGCAGGGAAAAAGACACAGAAATATTTGGTATTTAAAATGTTGTGTAACCTGGGGAGTGCAGCAGCTTTTGCAGAAAGGACTGGACATGGGACCAAGGCTCCATGAACCCATCCTAGACTGGGGACAGGGAGGGGAAAGCCGGTGTCACTTGGTGGAGAGGTGACCAAGATATTGTGGAGGCTCGAGTTTTGCAGGCCACTGGAAGAGCAGTTTGGTCCTGTACTTGTTTTGCACTCCAGTACTAAATTAGATTCTATAGTATCTTCATTTTAAGTGACGTCCTTTACAATAAAACCTCTCACTTTAAAAGCACAACACCGTGTCATAATTTAGACTTGTAGTCTCAAATGCATTTTAGATGTTATTGGAAGATTTAGGGCACTTTATTTGCTGTATAAACTCTTGCACATGACATGCATACAGAGGACTCTCGATCTGCTCTTAGATACCTTGTGTGCTGTGGGACTTGCCCTCTCTTCTTCAAGGGGACTCTTCCCAGGCACGAGCAGAATGAGATGGCAGCACATGGCAGAGAGGCAGGCTTTGCCTGGGCTGAGGCATAGCTTGGAGCCAAGCAAAGAGCAAGGTGCCTTGAAGACATCATATCCACACTCTTTCACCAGAACCTGGTGGGTTTTGAGACCGATCTTTCAGCAATTGTTGCGCACAGCCAGCTTTGTTCACACCGTGGCACAGTTTGTTTTCCCATACCGAAAATTGCTGCTGTGGGTAAACGCTTACAGCGTTGGAACTTTCACGTGTGTTAATAGTTAACAGAAGGGCTCTGTGCGTATTCAGGAGGACGAACAATCAGGATGTGGTGCCTCGCTGGCACGGTGCGGGTTTCCCACAGTTGTGTAATCTGGTTACCGGGCATTGTGCGAGCTCTTGAGAAGTTGGTGCAAAGTGGGCTTCCTTGAGTTATTTTGTTAGAAATGCACCCAATGTTTAAGGAATATGAGAGGACAAAATGAACCAGAGACCTCTTCCCACTCCTCCCTTCTCCCCCAACATGTTAGATGTGATGATGAAAAGAATTCAGCGTCCTTAACCTCTGGCAGCTGGCAGCACATGCTGCTCTGGGGTATTTAGAGATGTACAACTCTTGGAAGAAGCAGACTGTAAACTGTTGCATTTGTGGTCCAAGTTTTCTTGAAGTTGTATAGAAATTAGATGTCTCTTGCTGTCTTTTACTACAATTTAGGTTTTTAGCATCTTCCCTCCCCTCCTCCCAGTTAATCACAGAAATGTGAGTAGGATCATTTGTGTGAGTTGTATTTGTGATTCTGGAGGAGATCTTGTCATGTGAGGTTTTTCTGCTTTTAACTTGCAATCTACTTGTTAGACAAAGGGAGTGTAACAAAAAATAGAGAGGAAAAAGGACTGGTAAGTGATGTGAAAAGTCAGTGCGCAATGTGGCTGTTCTTTGTGATCACTTCAGAAGATTTTTCTAGGATACCATGAAAACAGCAAAGCATGTCGTGGCATTAAAAATGCCATCAACTTCTTACCTTGAACTAAGTTAAAAAAATCACATTGCAGTTAATGAAGTTCGTTTGGTTTTGTGAGTAACAAGTATGGTTTCATAGTTCAGTGTTTATTTGGTTTTTGCAACAGAAGCGTATGTGATGTTTGAGAGCCTTAGGAGCAAAATACTGCACTAGAGCAGTTCAGGAAGAACCCATCTGAACTTCTTCCCTGCTCTCAACTTTGTGTCAGTTCTAGCCAGAAATTCTCAAGGATTTCTGTGTGTGTATGGATAGTTGCATTAGCCTCTTAGAAAATTACTTAGCCAATAATTTCCTGACCCTCTCAAGAATGCAGTTACAAATATGTATGTTAATAATCATTTTGTCCTGAGAGTTTAAGTAGTTCATTTGCTTAACTATTAATTTTACTACTTTATATATTTCTAAAAATTGGCTGGCTTCCCTAAAAATAAGTTGCTGAAGGAGAAAATAAATATGCTGTTGGTTGCACTTACAATAGTGCCATTGTGCAGAGCAGAGCAAGGATCATTTCCAAACGGCCTCAGGTGAAATCTAATGGGAAACAATTTCAAACTGCTCTGAGTTCATTGGTAGAAAGAATGTGTCTTAGATAAACATCTGATCCAAGTTATACTACTTGGTATTATTCCTTCTCTGATTAAGTTCTAATTTTTTTTTTTTTTTTAGTTTAATAAATATAGTTGCATTGGCCAGTTGGAATAGGAGCCTGTTATATTGTCTTTAATGTGGATTCTATAAAAATGGTTGTTTGCAGGTTACTTTGATTTATGGGGTTGCTGCAGCTTTTTCATATTACTGAAAATGATCTTTTTCTGTGAACTGTTTCTTAGAGGATACTTGGCATTATGCTGCTCTCCTAGTGATGGCCTTGCAGACACAGCTTGCAGCTTTGAAGGATATGCAGTGTTAATTAATATTTGTTTTGGTTTAGCATTCAAATTTGTTCCTCATATGTTTACAGGAGAGCTCTGATCTTCCTGCTTCACTGCTTTTGGCTCAGCATAAGGACAGATCTACTCAGCTAGAAATGCAACTGGAAAAACCCAAACCTGTCAAACCAGTCACATTTTCCACTGGCATCAAAATGGTAAGACTTGCTTGTTTCTTCTTTTAATGCCTTTCAAAAGACCAAGTGTTTCCTCATAAGAAATTCAGAGGTTATTTAAACCTGAGTTGCATATTATATTAAATACATTGTTCTCTTCCAATTAAATAAGTAATTAGGAATTAATTGAAGAATTTCATCGTTCTGCTAGTTGCAATACTGAGATGACCCACTCTTAAGGTTCATCGTAAGTATATGAAACATTTTCATTGCATAGTTGTCAAAAAACAAGCTATACCCCTCTCCCTGCAAAGTCGTGGTGTCTTTGAATTAATTTTCTTGTTTGTGTACCAATTCTGGAAATTGAAATTTTGGAAGTTCAAGAATAGGCTGCACTTTCTTCAGATTTACTTAAGCACTGGAGCAGTCTGTGAGTATGAAACTGCCAATCTAGATAATTATGGCAAGGTTAAGGACATTATTCTCGTTGTTATTTGGCTCTAGGAAGCAAAAAGTACTTTTGCAAATGTGTCACTGCTGCGGTGGCAGCTGAAGCTCTGTCAGCATTCCTGTTCTGCACCACGACTTGGTGCACATACACATCAGCCTGTGTGTGTGTAAATGTAAAGCTGGAGGTGGAAGCCTGAGTTACTGATCTGTTCTGCACCTTACTGGTTTTCTCTTTGATGTTGTTTTAAATCCCTGCATGTTTTAGACTTTGTATTTCAGAACTGATGGTGGTAAACGATGTCTTGAAAACAACTGACACTCTCCACCCTTCTCAATACCCAAGGCAGCAAGGCAAAAACCTTTGCATCAAATTAGTTTCCTATCAGCAATGAATTTATTTTTGCCAGGAATATTTGTGCTGTGTTCATTATCTGCCGAAGTGTTCACAGTGTAGAAGCATTTGCAGCTTATTTTTTCAAAAACAGTGCCAGCTTTTGCTAAGCTGCGTGGATTGTTTTCTTGTTTTCCTGTGGTATAAATTGATCTTCTTCCTATTTCTTTTAAAATCTAGGAATCTGGGGGAGGTTGATACAGTTTGTGAGATATTTTCTGTGTGTGTAGGAAAACCAGTGGATAGAAAATGTTTGTTGTTCTGTTTAAATATAGTCCAGTTGAGTGCCAGTACTTTTTCTTGCTGTGGCCTTTCTCCTGGGAAAAGGAAGATAACTTTATGTTACATGATGAGGACAGTGGAAGTATTTTCTAATGCATTTATAAATGAGTATTAAATGCAGTATATGGTAGTGGACATTTTGAGATCTGCAACCCTAAGTACACTTTATTTGGGAACGGTGAAAGACTTGGATGAAGAGATCTCTGGCAGCACAACATCTAAATCTTAACCTTTGGAATAATATGGGATACATCAGAAAATGTGAATAGATGATTAATTTGTTCAATCTCAGAAAACAAAATAATGCCTCACCCTGGTTGAGCTTAGTCCTAAATTAGAAACGAACAATTTAACTGCATTTATTTCTATTAATGTTTTTGACAATAAAGTTAAGGATAGGAGTATTTGAATTGAGTGACTACTATTCATGGAAAGTGGATTGCATCAAATAAAAGTTGTACGCTGATGAAATTAGAGGTTTTATTGAGAAAGGTGAATGTATGCGTATTTTCTGTACAGGGTGCACTAATTTTTAGAAGTATAAAGAGATTATATTACACAATAATAACAATATTGAGATTCTGGACAATAAATTTATTAAGTGGCTTAATTGTAATTTTTAAAGTAGTCAGGAATGTTCTGTGGGTGTTCTGCTAGGACAACTCAGTGCTTGGAAGCAGATGATGAATTGCTGTGGATGATGTGCAAATTGGCAGTTTACAGGGCTGCTTTGACACGCTGGCCTCATTTGAATGAATGTGTTTTAATATGGCTAAATACAAAATTATAAATAGGAGGGTATATAACAGGCTTTGTGAAGAGGATTTGGAAGTTTAGCTAAGCAAGTAAAGCAGTTTGACCCCTTGTCACAACATTTGTTGGGGGGACCTTGACTGTGTGAATAACCCAGCAATAAATAGGAAAGGACTTGTCCTTCTGAATGCAGTGTTGGGAAGAGCCGTGGACTGGAGGGTTCTGCTGGCTGCATTTTGAGTGCAAAAACCAGAACACAAAATGGACCAAAGTCCATTCAAAGGCAGAAAGATCTGCTTTCTGCTGCAGTCTGCCTCTGGTGTGGGAGAAGGTTGAGGTATGACTCAATTTACAGTAAGTACATCCTTCACACAGAGCGTGCCAAATCTGAGCAGCGCAGCCGTAAATGCAGCGAGAACCAGTAACCTTAGTTAAACAAATGGCATCCAGATAGGAACTGAAGGAATGAGTAAGACCTAAAGTTCACAATGTTCCACCGCTTAATGGGCCTCACTGTTGAAACTGAGTCTGGAACGCAATGAAATCTCTGATTCTTGATGTTTTCAGGTTAAGATTGGGGTGTGTCTTGGAAAGTTATTGTAGTCAAATACAAATTGCTGGGTGCAGAGCCGAGTTAGTTTTGTAACAAGCAACACTGCACATGATTTGGTGGGGTTGATGATCCGTGATGATGTATTCCAGTGACAGTGTAAGGTGAATCCTCACCTGGGTACTCACCTTATTGATAAGTATATTTTCCAGACTGAGTGTTTTTCTAAGAACCTGAGATGCTCAGTCCATTAGTTTTGTTTAGGTGTACAGGTGGAGTAGGTGGAGTTTTTGTTGTGCTCTTTATAGTTGCTTTGGCTTTGCTCCTCTCTAAGCCTTGGGATTGCACCACCTGTATTGGTAGGGGCAGCTCTAGGGGAGTACTGGGAACTTCTTAAGAAATATAGTTCTAATTAGTCATAGAATCATAAAATCAGCGGGGCTGGAAAAGACCTCTGAGATCATCAAGTCCAACCCTTGATCCGACACTGCTGTGGCCAGACCATGGCACTGATGCCACATCCAGTCTCATCTTAAAAACCTCCCCTGGATAGTGACTCCACCACCTCCCTGGGCAGCCCATTCCATTGTCTGATCACTCTCTGTAAAAAATTTCTTCCTAATATCCAACCTAAACCTCCCCTGGTGGAGCTTAATGCTCTGTTTGGCTCAACAGTTCTGCTCATTCAGTACATTTCTGGGAAAAGTCTTGTGCTCGCTGTCAGAGTTTCAGCAGCGCACATTTAATGAATCACTGTGTACATTCTTCCCCCGTGCATTTAGTTTTTCCTTATAGTTTGGCCACTGACCTTTTCTGGTGGGTGTTTTCTTTAGTTTTGTTTCAAAAGAAGGGAATTCAGATAGGGCTAGCTGAGATGGTGTCTAATGCGGAGCTGGTGTTTGTGTTACACAAAGGCTATAAAAATGCACCAGTTGTGGCAATCCAATGGTTTGGTTTTTTTCTGACTTGAACATGAGTGTTTTTCCTGGGAAGGCTTTGGTCAGAGATGCTCTTCTGCTTGGCTGCTAATTGAACATGTTTCTCGGTGTCTGAATTAGGAGGCATGTCCATTCTAGTCTCCTGGGCAATGCTCAAGGAAGTTGGCTCATTTAAGGTGTCATATTAGTGCTGTGAGTTCCTCTGCTTGCAGGGGGAGGAAGGAACGTCTCTCACTTGTAAGCTAAGCAAGAGCATCCCCTCTAGCACGAGACAGACAGTAAGCTCAGGGTCTCCTTCACTATTCCTTTTGTCGAATTCCTTCTTTTTTTTTTCTCCTTTCAAGTGGAAGCAGAGTTTGTCTCTGTAGTCTGCTGTTTCACTTTTTCAGTGAATTATATCTTCTGTGCACCAAGTTGACCTTTCAAATTGATCAGTTTGATTCACCCCTGTGAGTGAGGGGAATGAAGTGCTTCGGAGCTTTCTCCTTTTCATGGTCATCATATTAAGAAATACACTTTAAGCATATCTGAATATTTAAAACAGTCTTATTTAATTTCAAGTCTGTGTAAAGCTACAAAATGAGCAATCAGTTAGTGCTAAAAATGCTATTTCCTGTCAGTTCTGGTACTTCAGGTTTTAGTAGCTGTCAGAAAGAGCAAAGGTTGTCAGGAATGAATGATGTTTCCAGTGTTTCTAGGGCTTATCAGGGGGTGCAAAAAACAAATCTAAGTCTGGCAAGAGAATCGTTCTTCTTTTCCTTGGTGAATGAAGTGACCATTTCTGGCTGGGAGGTAGCTTTAATGTGAAGCTCATTTTGAGGTGTAAAAGAGGTGCTCATACATATTGCACACAAAATGGCAGTTTGCAAGTGCAACAGGAATTAATTTTGTTACAGGAGTTTGGTTTTCTTTTTATGTCTCTGGCATTTACAGGGCTGTAGGAACCTTTTTGGTGCTTGTAGAGCTGTGCTTTACATCACCAGTGTGGTTAAAAATGCATAGATGTGTGGATGGATTTAACTCCTCTTTCATTCGTTGGTGTGGGAACATGGAACCTTTTGAGTCTGTGACCCAGTTAGTTCCGTGTTTGTAAAAAATGAGTGCCTTAGGCTTATGCTCTCCCCAGCATGTTTTAGACTGTCCCTTTTCTTTTCCTTGCAGTTCTATAAAGTTCCTGTGCTCCCTTCCCCCAGCCTCGCAGGACACTTTGCCTCTAGTGATGGTATTTTTGAAGGAATCTCATGTAGTTAAAAACCCAATTACCTCTAATTGGATTGCCAGAACACTCAGGAAAACAAAATAGGTGTCCTCTTGCCTGCTAGCGTGTGGGAGAGTTTACCTTTTTGCATTTTGTCCCCGATTACCTCAGAATTAATGTAACGCGTCATTGACCTTTCATTTTCTGCCGTTGTTTTTGTTTTATTACTTAATAGCAGTGGGAATATTTATTAATAGAAATATATAGTGCAGAGTGCTGTACATGCTTCGTCATTATCAAGATGGTCTGTGCCCCTGAATCTGCAGTGTAAATAGATGTGTCAGGCAAGGAGGGGAACCAGATGCCTGGAGGGGATGTTCTCGCCCAGGATTAGGAGGAAGAAGGAATAGGATCCAGCCCTCCTGAATTCCTAACCTCGTGGCTCTTCCGCTGAGCCGGGCTCCATCTCCTGTCAACAGC